GGCGGTCGCTCGGGCTCGGCTCCGGGTCCCAGCGCCTCCCCCGCGCGCCTCCCAAACTTGATGTGACCCCCAGCCCGGCGCGGCGGCTGCCCCTCTCACTCCCCGCGCCCTCCCCCCACCGCCACTCCGCCCCGCACTCCCGGAGCGCACGGCTCACCGCGCCCCTTCCCGCCTACCCTCCCGGGCCGGGCGCCGCGCTCGCCCTCCACGTTCCCTGCCCCTCGCCCCCTCCCCCCTGCACCATGAGCAGCCTGAAGTCCGAGGGCGAGCACAGCACCGGCACCAGCACGGGCTCCGGCGGCAGCCTGGAAGAGGAGGTGGGTCTGCGGCCCCGGGACTTGGCCGTGAAGTGCACGCGGAGGTGGGCGTGGAAGAGGGCGCTGGGGGCCTCCTGCGCCGCGCGGGGTCGGTCTGGCGATCGCTCCCGGCGCCTTCCCGCCGCTGCCCTTCGCCCCGGGAGGAGCAGCCAGTGTCCGGCAGGCGGGGGCATGCGGCCTGTACTGCCCGGCCAGGCGGGCATTGTCTCCCCGCCCTCAGGAGCTCCGGGCAGGCCGTGCGCCGTCCGTGCGTTGTGTCGAGGGCGAGAGGCGCAGCGCCTGCTGCCCGCGCGTCCTCGCTCCCCACTCTCGGTCCGGCTCGCTGCCCTTCTCCGAGACGCTTCTCCCGCGTGGCCAGGACGCCCGCCTTGGCTGGAAGGCGCTCCGCTGGTTTAGCACGGCGGGCGGGCGGCACCTTCACCCATTTGCCCTTTCCACCCTGCCCCCTCCCCGTGACCTAGGAGGCCTGGGCCGACAGCCCAGCACCTTGGTTCACTAGCACTGTGGTCATGCGGCGTGGGCGGCCTTTCTTCGCAGTCCCAGAACCCGGGCTTTGGGAGAAGGGTCAGCCGGGAATTAGAGTTAGGAAGGAGATGATTAAAGACAGTGCCCCTCACTCCCCGCTTTCCTCCCTGCGGTTTTGCCCTGGCAGCGAAGCCAGCTCCCTAAAGCTGTCCCGGGTGAGATTCTACTAGGAGAAGCAACATCTTGTCCGCCGGCCTTGTGCTAGGAGGAGGGAGTGTGAGGGCTTTCATGGAACCACCAGCAGCTGGGAGGTTAATGGGATGGTGAAATCGGGAAGGATGTGTGGGGGGTGGGGTGGTGGATAAAAAGCCTGAAAGCTATCAGAATGGGGACGAGGGACTAGGCCGCAGACAAGAACTGGCGTGGAAAGGGGATTAGGCTTCCTAGCTGCCTAGAAGGGCCTCTGGCCTCTGCTGTGTCACTCCCGGCTCAGGGACCCTTCCTGCTCCACCCTGGCATCCCCTTGTCCAGGAAACCAAGGGCCACTTATCCACCCTGAGCTCCTTTCCCCTTGGGTTGGGGGAGAAACCGCAGAACCCCTGGCCGGGTCTAGTGTTTGCCGCCTCCCTCCAGTCCTGTGGTGGGTGCCTGGCGGTGGTATGGGTTTGGTGCAGAGTGGCTGCCGATGGCCCACCGCTGGGCTACACACTGCCTGCGGGAGGGATGGTGGGAGGGTCTCGCTTGCGTTTCCCACTTTTAGCTCCTTACTTGTGCCTGCTGCCAGCCTTAGTCCAGCAATGGCATGACATCTTGAGAATCTAGGCTTGGATCCTGCTTTTGGGGGGAGGGTGCTGATAAACAGTTCTTCAGCCTGAGGCGTGTGTCCTTTGGTGGCTCTAGTGTCGGGAAGTTGTTTTCTCCCCCAAAGGCCTTGTTCTCCTTGGACCTTGATGCTGACAGGCCGTTGGATTTAGCGGATGTCTTAGTCATCTAGTGTCGCTATGACAGAAATACCGTAAGTGGGTGACTTCAACAAAGAGAAATTTATTCTCTCACAGTCTAGTAGGCTAGAAGTCTGAATTTGGGGGATCAGATCCAGGGGAAGGCTTTCTCTGTGGATCTCAAGGAAGATCCTTATCATTAATCTTCCCACGGTCTAGGGTCTAGGAGCTTCTCCGTGCAGGGACCCCGGGTCCAAAGGACGCGCTCTGCTCTCAGTGCTGCTTTCTTGGTGGTATGAGGTCCCCATGTCTCTACTTGCTTTTCCGTTTTATATCTCGAAAGAGATTGGTTTAAAAAAGAGAGAGAGATTGGTTTAAGACACAGTCAAATCTTGTAGATTGAGTCCTGCCTTATTAACATAACTGCCACTAATCCCATTAACATCGTAGAGATAGAGTTTACAATATATAGGAAAATCACATCAGATGACAAAATGGTGAACAATCACACAATACTGGGAATCGTGGCATAGCCAGATTGACAGATATTTTTGGGGGACACAGTTCAATCCATGACAGGAGACTTTACCCATCCTGACTCCACCTGGTTGTTGAGAAACTCTCCTGAGAGTTTGGGGAGGGTGGCATGGTTGCCAGTGTAAGGGGCTCTGGTTGGCATGGGTGGGCTGAAATTGGGGGTGGACACGGCCTCCTGTGGAGTTGGGCAAGGACACGGAGCACCACTTCTGCCAGAGGGCTGACCCTCAGACCCACCACTCAAGAGGCCAGGCTAAGATCTTGGAGAAAGCAGTTGAGGTATTGGTCATCTTTTTTAAAGCGGATTTTCTGCTGCTCCTCCTTGGAGGCTAGGTGGGCTGTAGCACTGTGATGGACTCAGAGCATCAAGGTGACTGGTGCTTGCAGAGGGTCATGGGCAGAGGTCTAAAACTGAGGGCTTGTGGCTCTCCTGGAGCCCTGTATCTGTTCTGGTCAGGTAAGAGCAAGGGTCGACCGCCTCCCCTCACCAGCTCTGTGAACAGTAGGCCAAGGGCCCCTCTGCCGGAGTCTCTGTCTTGGATTTTGGTGTTCTGAGTTAGAACTGGACTCCTTCCTTCGAGCCTAGATGTCCCCTAGGCAGTCAGTTCTGGAACCCCCAAGAGCCACCGTCTGGGGAATCTGCATTAGCCATAATGGTTTACTCTCATGACTGACCCAGGCTGGCTCTTCCCAAATTGACTGTTGGAGATGAGCTAGAGTAAGGCTGTAGAAAACCAGGCTACCCTCCTGCCCACCATAGTGCCTCAATTCCTAAAGGTGTTAGGTTGCTGGAGAAGGGGGTTTGTTTTCATGGTTGAGGGGATAACAGTGGGACTGCTTGTCTTCTGGAGTCCCTGGGGGGCACAGATAGTTAAGCGTTCGACACATGTTCGAACCCACCCAGAGGCACCGCTGAAGAAGGGTCTGGCGCGCTGCTTCCGGAAGTTCACAGCCTTGAAAACCTTATGGAGTGCAGTTCTGCTCTGCACATGTGGGGTCGCCATGAGTCAGAATCACCTCGATGGCAACAGGTACAGGGCTTGTTTTCTTAATCTGCTTTGCGTAGCCTTGACTTTCCCTGCTTGCCTACCCTACCCATGGGACCTCATCCATATTGTAAGCATTCTGGACCAGGGGTTCAGGATACGGGTGAAATGTTCACAGACTGGGAGGTGAGAAGGACATGCCAGGAAGTGATGTGTATGTTAACTGTAGTGCTATATAAGGAGATATTAGTGCATGGTATAGTGGTACCACTGAGGGAGATCAGCCCTCCCCGAGATGGGGACAAGTAGGTTGTTAGGCTTGTGGGGGTGGGAAAGGCATTCCAGAAAGAAGGAACAGCATGTGTGAAGGGAGGGTGGAGTGGATTGTGGAGCCAAATGTCTCGTCTAGGTAACTACTGGAGTTTGGTATGTTGCAGCAATATTGGGGGCCAGAGTATGAAATCATGCTGGGGTGGGGTCGGGAGGAAATTGACATTTCTCAGTCAGTTGGGACAGAAGGGAATTCAGGGGAGGTGCTAAGTGTCTTGTTTCAATCTTAAAATAAGTCTAGGGCTGTACCCTCCCCCAGCTGGGTCTGTGGCTGGTGCTGGAGTTCCAGAAGGTGAGGTAAAGCGAATGAAGTCTGCTCTGGGCAGGCTCTTGGGGGATGGCTTGGGGAAGCATGTATGGGTTTGAAAACACATACTATTTTGACAATGGGGAGTCAGTTACAGTAATTTTTAATTGGGAGGTACTTGGGAGGAGGATGGTATTTGGATCCTTGTGTTGGGGTGGAGGTACGTGTTTCTAAATAGTTGATGTTTTACAACAGCCTAATGGTGAGCTATGGAAACCCTGGTGGCACAGTGGTTAAGAGCTCGGCTGCTAACCAAGAAGTCGGCAGTTCGAATCCACCAGGCACTCCTTGGAAGCCCTGTGGGGCAGTTCTACTCTGTCCTATAGGGTCGCAATGAGTCGGAATCGACTCGGTGGCAATGGGTTTGGTTTGTTTTTTTTTAATGGTGAGCTATAGAAAGGCAGAGGTTAATGGCAGCTAAGGGGCTACAACTTGACCAGCCACTCCCTGCCCTCCTGCCCCATCTTTGCTTGTCCATTGCATCCAGTGTAGCTGGGCCAAGGCAGCTCCTTACAGGCCTGGTACCCCAGTGTACCAGGAAATGGTCAGCTAGCCCTCTAGGTGAGCATGAAGGAATTCTGGGGTTTATATGTGACTGGGTACCTCCACTTTTATCTGCCATCAAAAGCATTTTCGAGAATCTGGGAATCTTGATGCTCTGCCCGCAGGCCTCCTGGGTGTGAGATGGGGGTGTCGGGGGCTTCTGTGTTTCTGGGCTTGTCCCTAGAAGCCCTGCCCAGGCAGATGCTGGTAAGAGGTCAGGCTCCCCTCCTCCCTGGGGGTCGCTGTGCATGTGTCCCCTCTGCTCAAATACCTAATGGAGAGGCTGTACTTATAATAGTAAAGCCATAGATGGTATTGTGCCAGGCATTGTCCTAAACACTTTACCATTGTAACTCCTTTAACCTTCACAGCGGTACTGTGGAGTAGGTACATTACTATCACCATTTTATAAATGAGGAAACTGAGGCACAGAGAGGTTGTCACTTCATGTAGCTATTAAGTGGTGGAGCTGGGTTGTAAACCCGGAGTTTGCGCTCAGCCACACCCTATACCTGCTGCTCAGTTTTATCTTAGGGGTTTTGGCAAGACTTGGGGGCGGGGGAGAAAAGGTCCCTGCAACTCAAGTTTTTAGGGGCTGAGCTTTAGGTGATGCCAGCGTCTGTCCTAAGCAGAAGCCGGCCCAAGGCTAGTTTCTTTTGGGCCTGTGGCATCCCAAGACGGGGTGGCGGAGGCTGTTGGCCCCTGCCAGGAGAAGCATTTGATCACAGCTGTTTAGAATTGCTGTCACATGATGATAATAAAAAGACTGAGTCCGTTTTTACTTCCATTAATTTGTAATCTTCTCTGACATGTCAGTCTGCCCCTTGTTGCCTGTACTCGACACTGACTGCCTTCACCGTCCCTGTGGTACCCCACTGCTTTGGGCGTCTT